CGCATTTCATTACAAACTGCAGACCAGAATTTCAAACCACCTTAACCAACTACTAGCACCTACACAACAGGCATAGGATGATAGCTGGTTCCTGTAACCTTTCCATAATCTTAAACATATCCTAAAAACCCGACAGAGTAGGCAACAGACTCATATGATAAGTCTAGCATATCAGGCACGTATATCATCAAAGCATTAACAAAGATAGCCTAGATTTAAAGCAAAGAACATCCCGATGAAAAGATTTTTTCACATAAAAATGAGAGACAATGTAGGATGCTACAAGAATAAGCAACCACCTTCCACATAAAAATCTGGTTAAGAACATCACGCTCACAGACAGCTTCTGCATCTTCAGTGCTGCACCCGTTCTCTAGTTTTTGTAAGGCTGTTCGAACAGCCTTAATATAGAGAGACAACATCACAAAACTAATTGATAAGAGAAATTATTACAAATAGCGCTGTCTACAGACTGAAATAATATTTGGATTTTTCACTACATGTACCTCAGTCGAGCCTTCCACCTTTCCTAATAACATCTTCTTGTTCACAAAAAACTTTGATGAGTACGCATGAGTTGTTGGAATTGGGTGCTTAAGTATAACATCTTCCAGAGTTAATGAAGATGCAGCTTTTTCCATTAGATCCAATACTCTGAATTGCAAAAATCAACCTTAGAACCGAAAATAGAAAACTACCAATAATATTGACACCCATGATTGTCTGTAATCATACCAAATCCCTTCGAGTCTAAATAAAAGCGTGTCGAATTAAGGGTGTAATAACACAGATAGAAATATGATTGTATAAGTTTGATAAAGTCACCTCCTCTCTGAATCAACACTAAGTACATCTGGATTCTCATGATTCACAGAAAAAGATGGCCTTTGCTCCTGTTTAGATACTGGTTTTTGCTTCGGTTTGGATACCGTGGGAACAGTTCTCCCCCTACACAACTCTTCATAGGAATCATTTCTCGATTTAGATGGAGCTTTCCTTCTAGCTACAAGCTCCTCTAATGCCTGTTTTCTCTTCCTCTCTTCAAATTCGGGAAATTTTATGTGGTCCCTTGTTGCAGATCTGGTGTAGCTGTTTATCGCATGCTTCCTGGTCAAAAGAAGAAAACAAAACAAAACTAAACCATTCAAAGTTACAGCCAACAAAGGTAAATAAAAACAGCTCATCAAAGAAAATAATGCATACGTGCAATATATTAGTATGCGGTTTGGAAGTAGATCATCCCAGGCTCTTTGTATTGATCTCCCTTCTCCAAATTTTCCTCCCTTCTCCTCAAAAGCAATCTCCCTGTTACAAGATATTCAAGCATCAACCATCGAGATGCTCAAATGAAGTAACATTAATATTCAATATAAAACAAAAGAAAAGACCATCAAGAGTACCTTGGCAAGCATTTCCTATGGTACGATTGAGGGCAACGCATGCACACAGCCAACTGCAATTCATGGACCTTCTTATTCTCCCCTTCTTGACAAACGCTGCACTTGTGAACTGGACACGTAAAATAATCCCCCAGAGAAATCTTTTCTTCAAGTTCTTCAGCAGATTCTCTATTATTTTGACAAAGTAACTTTGCAACACATCGAGGATGGTAAAAACGACCACAAATCGCGGAAGCACAGGGAAAAACCTAAGAGAACGTGAATAGAATTCTTTAAAATAAAGCCACATAATATATATATACACACACACATACATACTACTACTACTACTGACAATACTATTGATAATAACATAAAAAGGCAGAAAAGGATACACTGATGATTTCTGACAGAGTCACAGAAATACAAGGAAAAGTTGGCTATTTAATAAAACAACAAAAAAAGGAAAACGTCGGATCTTTCACAGAAGCAGAAATTCAAGTATCTTAGTAAAGAAAAATTCAATCAGAAATATAAATGGGTAGAGAACTCTAAACTGACCAAAACGTACATACTAAAACTTGCATCAGAAATGGTGAATGCATTAAATGAATGATATAGTCAGCGGAATATAAGGGAAATAGGATATTTCTGACCAATCAAACTAGTTCTGAAATTACAGAACTCTTTGAGTAGGGTTAAAAATAATCAAGTGGCACTTCATACAGTACAACTATATAAAACTATTCCAACATCAGGATACCAACACTTAAACAGCAGTTCAGTTTGTTTCGAGCTACAACAAGCTCATACCTTGGCATCCAAAGATTTATCAGAGGACCCTAACTCCCCACAAGCATAGCACTGATGTTGTTTAAATTTACAGTTCCTGCATAGGAAAGTTGACATCACCTATCAATTCAAAAAACATATATAATTAGTGAGGGTCATGATGATTATAACAACAGAATGACAAACGAAAACAAATAAATAGAACTTTCAAAGTAAATATATAACATGAGCATACATCGACAGCACCCCGCATAAAGCCGAGAGATCTGCAACCAGATCCCACTCCAGCCTCTACAGTCGCATGAAAGGACCTAAGGCACCTCCCTTCACAGCTGTGCAAGAACATAAAAACATTCACCCGTAAATTCTAGGAAATAAATTTCATAACAGAATTTCTGAGATTACCATCAGTATTATATGAACAAGATGACACGAGCATACCACAAGAGGTCGCCACCATCATCGCATATACAACAGACATAGCCAAATATGCCATCAATGTCCACTGAGTCATCTTCTGCGTCACTAATCATATCCTCATCCATAAATCCGAGCATTTTGGCATATTGAATGTCCTGAAAATCCAACAAATTCACTGGCTCTAAACATTATATAGCTCGGAAACAATGAAAGAGAAACAAATACCAAAACTCAAGTATACAATGTACTTGAGGACAAATGAAAAAAAATAAAATGAGCAGGACATCAATATAAAGAGGACAAAGTTCATCAATCTTGCAACTTTCTCTTTTTCTATATGATTTGTTATATGCATCTTCTTATATTAAAAGGGCAGAAACCGAAAAATATCCGAAAAAGCATGGCAATTTTGTTGGCATTGCTGAGTTCAATTTCAGAGAAATGCCGAGTTGGGCTACTAAAGGTCTGTTTGGTATTATTCTTGCATCTAACTTTTTATACTCAAAAACAATTTTCAAGTTTTAAGCCTTAAAAACATATTTGATGTAACTATTTTAAAAAACTAAACTCAAAACTAACTCAAAAATATAATTTATTCTCTAAAAAAACAAAAAGTGAGTTTTTAGAGTCTCATTTCTTTTCTCTCCCTCCTTCCCTCTCACTCTAAATTTATCTCTCTCTTTTCTTCTTTCTATCTCCCTCTTCTCCTTTCTTTTTACCTTTTTCGTCTCTCCTCCAATCCGTTCTCTTCATTATCTCGGTTCTTTCTCTCACTACTCTTCCTCTCTATCTCCTCCAATCATTTCTTTTCTTTCTCTTTCCTCCAATCATGTCTTACTTTCTTCCCTCTTCTCTGCTCTTTCTCCCTTGGCCTCCACTTTTTGGATTTCTTTGTTTAGTTTAAATTATAAGATTTAAAAATTTTAAATCACATACCAAATAAGTTTTTAAATTTTAAAAAAAATTCTTTAAAAATATTTTAAAAAATAATAAAAATTTTCAAATATGATACCAAACAGACATTTCAAATATTCGAACTTGAGAATAACTGCTTGGTACATAGTACCACAAAAGTGGAAAGCGGAACCGAAAATGTAATGAGTCACAAAAACCAAAAAAAAAAAAACTTGCGAAACCCTTTTCATCCAACAAGCACAAGTCCAACGTCGAAACAGAAAAAATAAATTATTCACATTTTGGAAGGAATGAAGAGAAAATTTTCAAGGTTTGGGCGGAAGATCATACCTGAGACATTTCAGAGAATCAACTCGACACGGCGTCGTGCTGAGCAGAGAGATCAAAGGGCAAATGGCGTCCGGGAGAGAGAGAGAGAGGGGGGGGGGGGTTTGGGAATGGAAGGTTTGAGTGTTGTAATTTGTGGAATTGAATGCATGTAATGCAAGTATAATAAAATTTATTACAGCCGTGTTTCTTCTTTTCAATTTGGTAACCCCTAAACTAATACTCCACTAATCCCTAAACTAATACTCTACTAATTAATTTACCAACATTCCTTTTTTGTGTGATACTAGGATTCGTTGTTAGCTTTTGCCATTTTATATCCTCTCCTTTTATCTTCTAGTCTGTCATTTTACACTATTTCGACAATTGGGTTAAGACAAAAAGTTAATTTTATTAAATTGAAGGAAAGATAAAAATTGATTACGGTGATTTAAACATGTGAAACGAAGGCTTATTGACGTCACTTAGTGGGAAAAAATTTTGTTGTTGTTGTTGGTTATCAAAATTGGGAATAGAACACATGTTTTTTTTTTTTAACAAATGATATTATCTACACTAAGGAGAAGGGGTGAGCCTCACAATGAGCTAGTAATAATATAGTTCAAATTTGCCTTTGACGAGAATTGAACCTAAGACCTCTCACTTACAAGTGAAGAGGAATATCACTAGATCGTAATACTATGTGGCAATAGAACACATGTTTTTAACATTAAACCTACTTATTCCCATAATATTCCTCTTGGTTATCAAAATTGGGAATAGAACACATGTTTTTAACATTGAACCTACTTCTTTATTCATTCTTTGTGTACTATAAACCAACAAATTGTTTTTTTTTTTTGGTACAAAGGTAAATTCTTCGTTACCAATACATGAAAATTTTACATACAAGAATTCAAATACAAATAGAGCCCAAAATTACAAAAAGAATCCCAAAGCAAAGGACCCAACCCAAAGATTGAGCCAAAACAAACAAAACAAAATAAAAAACCCTAAGAAAACAGACGCAGTCACCGAACCACAAAAAAAAAAAAAAATTGCCGACAACGAACCACCGCCTCCTGCAGTCACCAAAATCCAACCAAACGAAGCCCCCAAATCGAAAATCAAGCTGATTCTACCCTCTTCCATCATACCACAAAATCCAAATCTGCAACCAACAAGTAAATGAAACTCATGGAAGATGGTGGTGTGACCACCCGAGTATATGCTCTGCACACCTTCCAAGAGAGCTGCGAAACACACTTAAAAAATACTGTTGCAGATCTGAGAAATAATGGGATAGAAAGAGGCCAGAACCATAAGGGATGGGTAGAAGATGGGCTAAAAAGAGTCATGGATGTTGGAAGACAGGAAGGGAAGAGAAAAAAGAAGGTCGGAATTGAGAAATTTCTGACGGAGGCCAAGGTTCCGTTAGATCCTATGCAAGAGGAAGAAGAAAGTGTTGGAAGTTTTGAGACTCTTGTCCTACATCGGGGAAACAAGATTCCCAAAGATTTTTATATATGTTTTATCTTCTACAATATTAGTTAGGTGTTGGACCATTTGGAATGATGATTGAGGCTTAAGCCACTAATTGTGTGGATTAAACTTGATGATTATACCATAATATTAATATTAATTAATCAAGACAAGGGTCCTGGGCCTTGGGGCATAAGAATTAAAATTAATCTGATCAATTAGTTTTAATTTCGAATTAAGTTTTTAATTAAAATTAATTAAAAATGTTTTGATTAATAGACACAACTCTTCGGAGAGAGTTGTATAGCTTCATATACATCCAAAAGGTATTTGAAGAGGTATGAAAGAGCATATATAACTGGAGTATTCAGTTCCATCAAACATCATCTTTTAGCCCTCCTTTTCTTTTGTAAAAGAGAGAGTAAACACACAAAGCAATTCGCTAGAATTCTTAATCCAGTGCGGATTGTAAAATTAGGTAGTTGTATCATGATCGAGCATACGTTGTAGAACCACAAGCACAAGAGTGGGATGGAAATACTGTTCAAATGATGTAGCTTTTGCGCTAGCCTCTACCTTTGGTATCATTTTAATTTTCTGTATTTATTGTGTATCATGCGACCAGTTTTCATCAGGTACTATTCATGTTTGATTTTAAATAAAAGTATTTAAAATGATTTCTTATCGCACGATGTATGATGAACGGACACAATTTGAGAATTCCAAAATCCTTACAAAGAGGATCCTCATTCACCTTAAACAGCCTTAAACCTTTGTTCAAATTAAAATTAAAAATGAAAAGGAACTCTGGCTAAATAGCCAAAATGGTTCATGAGATTTGCATAACTCATCACTTTGGTCCTTAACATTTCAAATCGATAAAAGTGGTCCCTGAGATTGTCCATCATCCATCAGTTTGGTCATTTCGTTAAAAACTCCGTTAAATGTCCTGAAACTTTTGGCCGGAAGTTTGGACAATTTTCAAAGCTTCGTAACTCAATCGTTTCTTAATCAAATTCGACCCATAATATATCAAAATGAAGATAAGAAAGCGTATAATAAGATTATACCTATTTGGAAGCCCAATGGCTGCCGGAGATAGCTCGAAAATAACCTCAAATTTGACTGGTCCAAAGGAAAACTGGAAAACTCGCCGAAAACTGGGGTAAACTTTAAACATTCATAACTTCTTCAATACTCAACGAAATCAAGTGATTCAAAAATGAAAATCATACTTCTTGACGATATGAAGAGAATGATACCTTTTCGACAGCTAACTCGTTGTGGTTTGGCCGGAAAACGGCTCAAAAGTGGCTGTCTTGGTCTCGAGTTAGCCACTTTCGAGCCGTTTTCCGGCCAAACCACGGTAATTTAGCCATCTCAAAAGGTACCATTCTCTTCGTCTCATCGAGAAGTATGATTTTTGTTTTTGAATTACTTGATTTTGTTGAGTATTAAAGAAGTTATCAACTTTTAAAGTTTACCCAGTTTCCGGCAAGGTTTTCAGTTTTCCCTCGGACTAGTCAACTTTGAAGCTATTTTCCGGCCATCTCCTATATTCATTTTGATATATTATGGGTTGAATTTGGTTAAGAAACGATTGAGTTACGAAGCTTTAAAAATTGCCCAAACTTCCGGCCAAGAGCTCTGGGACACTTAAAGAAGTTTTTAACGGAATGACTAAAATGATGAATTGTGGACAATCGCATAGATCACTTTTATAGATTTGAAATGTGAGGGACGAAAGTAAAAGTGAAGAGTATGAAAATCTTTTTGGCTATTTAGCCAAGGAACTCCCGTTAAACCTTAAACCTCGTCTCGCAATGAACATCTGTCACGCTCAAGGCTCTCACCTGCACGCACGCACTCTCCTCACTCGTCTCTTGTCTTGGATTATTCTGGGCATTCTTTCTACTTTCCATTGAGTTTTGTTTATTATTTTTGTAGAATTATTGGATACCTTCTTCCGCTTCTAAACAATCAAAGACACTTCTAAATTAAGGTATTTTATATTATTTTCTATTAGCTTTGTATAATTAAGAGTGCAATTTAAGTTAAATTTGTAGCTAATTCTCGTTGTAGATTTGGGGAAATTAGGGGATTTTGTGTTAGGTTTTGAAGATTTGTTATATAATATGTACCAAGTGTGAATTTTAAGATTTAATTAAGGTTTAATCCAAACTGATTTCTGTAGCTTGTATGTGATTGTTGGGCATTCCTCAATGCTTGCTGCTGGTTCGGTATTGGAGTCTTAACCGGTCTGAGGAAGAGCAAATGCAGCATTAGTCTAAGTTTTTTTGTGTATGTCTTCCAGTTTTGTACACAACATTGGGAAAGAAGATGTTGAATGTAAACCAATTACTTGCAAAATGCAAAACCCTCAACCATCTAAAGCAACTGCACGTCTTTATCATCACTCTTGGTTACGGCCAGAGTGAAATCTACGCCTTCAAGCTCGTCCGCTTCTGCCTTGTCACTCTCCCCAATGCCAACCTTCCCTATGCTCGCCTCATCTTCGACTGCCTCCACTACCCGAATGTATACCATTACGCTGCCATGATTGCTGGTTATGCCTCCCAGTCCCACCACCATTCTGTTTTTTTGTTGTACCGACGCATGTTTTGTCAGGGAAGCCCTCAACCCAACCATTTTATCTACCCCCACATCTTGAAATCTAGTCCAGAGGTTTTTAAGTCTCACGGGACTGAACTGGTGCATACCCACATCATGAAATCGGGTTTTGGTCAATACCCTGTTGTGCAAACGGCTCTTCTTGATTCCTACTCCAGGTTCCGCTCGGATGTTGGCTCAGCAAGGCGGGTGTTTGAAGAAATGTCTGAGAAGAATGTCGTGACCTGGACGGCTATGATTTCTGGGCACACTAGAGTTGGGGACATTGGTGGTGCTCTGTTGTTGTTCGAGAAAATGCCGGAGAGAGATGTCCCTTCTTGGAATGCTGTTATTGCAGGTTGCACGCAGAACGGCCAGTTCTCGGAGGCAATTTCTCTGTTCAAAACAATGGTTCATATTGCACATGGGGAGAAACATCGAGAAAATTGGCCGAATCAGGTTACTGCTGTATGTGTTCTTTCGGCTTGTAGTCACACTGGCATGCTGCAGCTTGGTAAATGGCTGCACAACTATATTTACAAAAATGCGCTTGGTCCAGATTCGTTTGTTTCCAATTCTTTAGTAGATATGTATGGGAAATGTGGGAGCTTGAAAGTGGCAAGAAGGGTTTTCGACAGGACCTCGCAAAAAAGCTTGACCTCTTGGAATTCCATGATCAACTCTTATGCTCTGCACGGTGAAAGTGACAATGCAATTGGTGTGTTTGAGGACATGATACAGTGTGGGGCTGATGTAAGACCAGATGAGGTCACTTTTGTAGGCTTATTCAATGCTTGCACGCATGAAGGGTTGGTAGAGAAAGGTATTTCTTATTTTGATTTGATGACTCAGGGTTATGGGATTGAGCCTCAGATAGAACACTATGGATGCTTGATAGACCTTCTTGGTCGAGCAGGTCGATTTGAGGAAGCCATGGAAGCTGTGAGGGGAATGAAAATTGAACCCGATGAGGTCATGTAAGATTTATGGTCGCACAGATCTCGCAGAAATTGCAGTTAAAAAGTTGATTCAACTTGAACCAAATAATGGTGCGTATGGGACCATGTTGGCCAATATATATGGGCAGTTGGGGAAGTGGGATGATGTCCGAAACGTGAGAAAGATGCTGAGGGAGCGAAATGCTTATAAAACCCCAGGTTGCAGTTGGATTGAGGTTGATAATCAAGTTTACCAATTTTATTCAATTGACAAATCACATCCTAGAACGGAAGAGATCTACCAAATCCTAGACATTCTCCTCTTATTTCTTCCCGACATATGAACTGTGTTTTTTTTTTTTCCAATATATGAACTATGTTTAAAAGCCCGAATATAGTTCCACTGTTCAAGCAAGCTTACCTGGTTCCTACCTATTAAGGTAAGGATGAGAGCAAGAGGAAATGAACTTTGTGTTATAAGTTGCATTCAATGGTCTAAAGGGTGTCTCAGCACAACCAATGTAACTTACTCCTAGTGACTTGCTGTGGCACTTGAAGTTGTGGAAATATAAATGTTTTTACAGCCAGCCACCTGAATTGGCCTTCCATTTAACTTGAAATGAGGTTATGACTGAAGATGTCTTTGGCTTTGTTCGTCTCGCATTGGTGATTACCTTCTTATACAAGACCGCTGTTTTGCCTTAGCGAGTTTTGTAGCCAAGTTGGTAATGTCCAACCGCACAACACCAGTGGTCTTTCTGCTTTCCAAGTGATAATTCAAAACAACATTTTTGTTCTGGTAAATGTTTCGGCCTTTTTTTCTTTTCTTTGGTATTTTGAGAGATGACATTTGTAGTAAAGGCAATTGCATGCTTTGTTCCTTAACACACACACACACATGATTCTTATGCTTCCCCTGTACCTTGTCGCATTGAATGTTTAGTTAGAACCAATATGTGCTTTCTTTTGTTTATTTCTTGATGGAGCTTTATTATATGAACTTGATTGCTATCATCGGTTAAGTTCTTGTATGAATATGATTAACTAGAACTAGAAAACAATTTACTCCCAAAGCAGTGATGTCTTTTTAAATCTGTACACTTTCTCTTTCTTCCAATCAAGCTGAAGATTGCAGTTTAAAGTTAGAGTTGAAGTAGGATTTTATTTACACACGTGCATTATTTAAACTTTGTTGCCATTTATAGGTAAATTATTTAAGAGAGGGTGGAAATTGTTGAGTATCAATACCACATCAGCATCCACATAAGCATCAGTAGTGAAGGCCACCTTAGCAGAGTTTGTTAAATGATTGTTAAAGCTGTTAGAGTTTGTTAAAATGTTAGTTGAGTCTGTTAACATTTAGCTTAAGGCACGTGTGCCTTCTCCCAGCTATATAAGTCTGGTTGTATCTCATTTGTAAAACACAGATTGAATAATCAAAAACATTTTGAGCTACTTGTTCTCTTTCAGTTGTTTCTCTCTCTAATTCTTCAGTTTCCTCCATTCCTTATTGCCCTCTGATTCTTTCTCAATTAGTTAATAGAAATATGTTGCAGTCAAGTACAATTCTTGGATGCATTTGACAGGTTTGACAAAGGCCCAAGTCATCCAAATTTTTTTGCATTCATTTATTTACTGGTGGCTCCTGTTGGGACTGAATTTTTTATCAGTACTCTGTGAATCCATTTTGCTACTAAGTCTCTTTTGACTTAAAACAAACATTAAGTTACAAATACAATTGTTTTTATGGTTATATACAAAGAGGAAAACCTTAAAAATATATGGATAATCTTGCCTTGGCTCAAGGGGAAACCTGCCTGGAGATTGTATGTGATCGTATTGTTGTTCAATCTAAGACGTTGCTGATAGCTTGAACAAGCCCCTTATGAAACCAACTGAAAGCAGCCTATGGTCCTTATGTTGTTAAGGTTGGGAACCTTTTGCTACTATGATAGAAAGGCGTTTGCTTGTTGCCAAACCCTTTGGTTTCTTTTGAATCAAAGTAGCTCATTTAGTCCCTTTTTTTTTTTGGGGGGGGGGGGGGGGGGGGGGGGGACTGATGTTATACGATAGCTCCGCTACCTCATCTCTTTTTGCTGTATCATATCAGATCAAATTACGTCTATTGAGTGAAAGCAATACTTATATTCATCGTTATAGAGATTTCTGTACCTAGTCATTCCTAGGATTCTTCGTATCAGAAGTTAGTATGATCTGGACTTGACCTACATAATGCCAACACAAAGTTATGATAGAGGCAGTTGAAAACCACATGCCTGAAGTGATCATTGTCAATGAGATTGGCATGGAAACTGAAACGGTCGCTTGATTGCTGAGAGAGGGGTCATGCTTATTGTTACTGCTCATGGGCTGACACTAATATAATAAAGAATCCTACTCCACTTGGATCTGTTTTGTTCTGGTCTCTGTTTAAAACTCGATGTGGAATTATTTGCCTCTTATTCCAATTATATCCGAGATGGTGCGCTCTGGACACTTTTCTCTTCTTTCCATTTCATCAAATTGAATAATTCACAAATTTACTAGGCTTTATATTGTGTTTACATTTTCCATATGAGAATTCTTTATTCAGTGGTGCGTTGGAATGATAGTTTCTTTTTCTCCACACTATCATTTCAAACATACAAGACTTGCTGCTGGCTACTGGTTTACAGCCCGAGTTTCATCCTGTGGTTTGCTTCATATTTCTTATCCAGGTGCTCAAAAGCTTTCCAAAATGAACTACGAGCAACGTACAGCAACTGTGTGAGGATGACATTTCTGAGCTTCATCCTGTGTTTTGCTTCATATAATTATGTGTTCAATGAAAAGCCCTTCAGTCTACTCTTTTCTAACTTGCAGGTACAATTGTGAACACGGAAAATTCCTGAAATGAAAGAGACAAGAACAACGTGCACAAACAAATATTTGTATTTGATGATTTTGGGTTACAATCTCTCTTAAATTTGATCATCTGATTCAATTTCCGTAAGGTGTGTATTTGTGGATGTGCGATTGATCTAAAGGGTCGTTGGGCTTGATCTAAGGATGAACGTTCTTCAAGGGCCGTGAACTTGATCTTGAAGGTGGATTTGAGCGGATCTTCAAAGGGGCTTTTGGGCTTGATCTTTGAAGAACAGTGATGAACGGATCTCCAAGGGCTTTTGGGCTTGATCTTGAAGAACGGTTGGACGTGTGGATTTGTTGATGTTGTTGATCCAAGGGGCCGTCGGGGCTTGATCTTAGAAGAACGATGAATGAAGAACGAAGAACACTTTCAAGGCCGTCGGGGCTTTGATCTTGAAAGATGGTTGATTGGGGTCCAAGTCGGGGCTTGATCTTGGAAGAATGATGAATGAAGAACGAAGAACGAAGAACGAAGAACACTTTCTTCAAGGGCCGTCAGGGCTTGATCTTGAAGGTGGATTTGATGAAGAACGAAAAGGGCTTTCTTGATCCTTCGGGATTTGCTTGAGAGCTTCGGAGTTTCAGAGCTTCAGAGCTTCAAGGTGTAATATGAATTCCTCCCCTCAAATGAATGAATTAGCCTTCTATTTATAGAAATTTCCAAGGCCTAATTTTGAATATAATATTCCAGATGAAATAAGTCGTTTCTGCCAGGTGTTGACACGTGTCCTGTTTGATGACTTTTCCAACTTATTTCGATTTTTTGTTTAGACACACGCTACGTGTAAAATTATGTAATACATGAGCGTTGAAACTTTGATTTATCGGTCAACATTTATTTACCGAAATTTCGATGTCTACAAATGCCCCCACTTCAAGGCGCGTCGTATACATGTGCTTGTCACGTGTAGGAGATGCGTTTTGAAGTCCCTTAATGTAGATGTCGATCCAAGGGCCGTCGATGCTTGATCTTGAATTGGGCTGGAGATTTCTTCAAGGGCCGTTGAGGCTTGATCTTGAATTGGGTTGGAGATTTCTTCAAGAGCCGTCGAGGCTTGATCTTGAAGGTTGAAATTGGACCACAAGGAGCTTCATGTGGTAGATGATCTTTGGCTTTGGTAGTGGATGAATCGGCACGTATTTTGTTGCGCTTGTCTCCACATGCTTCAATGTATCATTTTCCCTTGTCTTATCTATTCTTCTGGGAGAATGTTGCATCTTCTCGAGTTCTTCAGCTCAGACTCCTTCTGCTGAGCTGACTGTGCATGCTGCATTCTTCTCTGCTTGTTTCTTCAGGCAGACGTGGCAGCTTCTTGAGTTCCTCAGCTCGGACTCCTTCTGCTGAGCTGACTGTGAAGACTGCATTCTTCTCTACTTGTTTCTTCTGCACGTTGTCTCCACATGCTGCAAGGTATCATTTTCACTTGCCTTATCTGTTCTCCAGGCAAATGTGGCATCCGAGTTTGAGTGGAGGTTCCGGCATATTGTTTTCTTTATCCTTGTCTTTGTAGGTAAGAACAAGAACAAAGGAGGACAGGGAGAACGCATGATATGAGATACTCTTGCTTTCTACCCTGGTGATATGAGATACTTTTGCTTTGGTGTCATTTGTTTGCAGAGGTACCCCAAGGAATAAGAAACACTGAGTGACTCGAGAGGCTTTGTTGGGAAGGCATTCTCGGAGATGAAGAAATGTTATGTATGTCTGCCTTGCTATGGAGGGTGAAGGTGGACAGTTATAGGAAATTCTTTAGTACCTGTAGAGGTACTATTCTTTTACTCGTGTCGGCAACCAATGCGTGATTGATCAGTATGGCTTCATGTGCTTTCTTCTTTATCAGAAATCTTCGACAAATTGTCCGTAATTTTCGTCAAGCTGAGTGTGCATGTGACAGGTGTTGACGAGGCTGAAAAAGACTGGCGCCTCTTCAATATCTGGGATCGGCGCTTCGACAACTTGCCCGTGATTTCCGCAAAGCTGAATTTGCGTGTGACGGGTGCTGACGCGTCTGGAAAAGCAAGATGCTTCTCCGATTTCTGAGCTTGCCTCTTCGATTTTTGAATTGGCCTCTTCGAATTCTGAGCTCGCCTCTTCGATCCTGAAATGTTGAGTTTTGATTTTTTATCGAGCTCAGAAAAATCCCGTCGAGTGTTGATTTTTTATAGAGGCACGCAGTTCGTTTCAAAGCTCACTTGAATTTTCGCTTGTAGAAACTCCCTTTGTGCACTTCTAAGATCTTGATTTTGTCCGACTTCTTATTTCTTCAACACCTTTGAAAATGTATGGACCCTCCGACCGTCGTTTTGATTTGAATCTTGGTGAAGAGGCAGCCCCGCCTTCTCCAGACAACATATGGCGCCCATCTTTCATATCCTCTACTGGTCCTCTTACCGTTGGGGATTCGATGATGAAGAATGATATGACCGCTGCGGTGGTGGCCAGGAACCTTATCACTCCCAAAGATAACAGACTACTTTCCAAACGGTCTGATGAGTTGGCTGTTAACGATTCTCTGACTCTTAGTGTGCAATGTGCAGGTTCTGTGTCTAATATGGCCCAACGCCTATTTGCTCGAACCCGTCAAGTTGAATCATTGGCGGCTGAGGTGATGAGTCTCAAACAGGAGATTAGAGGGCTTAAGCATGAGAATAAACAGTTGCACAAGCTCGCACATAACTATGCTACAACCATGAAGAGGAAGATTAGCCAGATGCAGGAATCTGACGGTCAGATTTTACTTGATCATCAGAGGTTTATGGGTTTGTTCCAACAGCATTTGCATTCGTCTTCTGGGGCTGTACTGCGTAATGAAGCTCCAAATGATCAACCTTCGGTGCCTTCTCCTTCTGGGGTTCCGCCGAGTGATGATGCTCTGAATAATCACCCTCTGGTGCCTCTCCGATCTGGGGCTCCGCCGAGTACTGAGGCGCCACCTAATCAATGAAGGCTTTTGTTTGTTTGCACTTTTTTTTTTTTTTTTTTTTTTTTGGTATGTAAATGTTCCGTCTGTAATTTTTCCAGAGAAATCGATGAAATAGACTTTATTTCTCTTAATGCATTTGTTTTTTTTTTCTTTATGTGGTGCAATCCGCAACATTTTTTTTTTATTTATATATTTATTTATTTATTTATTTTTTCTTTTCAGATGGTGCAATCTGCACCATCTTTTTTTTTTTTTTTTTTTTTTTTTTATTATTATTATTTTTTTCTTTTCAGATGATGCAATCCGCACCATCCCCTTTTTTTTATATTATTTTTTTTTCTTTTCAGATGATGCAATCCGCACCATCTTTTTTTTTTATGTTTTTTATTTTTAAATTTTTATTTATATATTTATTTTTTATTTTTATTTATTTATTTATTATTATTTTATTTTTCTTTTCAGATGGTGCAATCCGCACCATCCCCCTTTTTTATTATTATTATTATTATTTCTTTTCAATGGTGCAACCCGCACCATGCCCTTTTTAGTTATTTATTATTTTTTTATTTTATATATATATTTTTTATATTATTTTATTATATATTTTTTTTTCTTTTGTGCAAT